ATCGTAGCCTTGCATCATTCATTGGAATAATAAATACAATTGATTCGGAAACCCAATTTTTTATTAATTAAAATTTGTCCCCGACCCTATTCCGATCGATTGACTAAGGCACTTGAGAACACCCTTAGTATCGGGTTAGTGAGCTTATGTGTCCCTACCTCGCACATAAGTGTTGTAACTAAGCTACGTCTTTTTTATATATAATTTAAAGGACTAATGAGGCTTAAACATAGCTTATCTTATTCTATAGTGGCTTATATTCTTTATCACAACCTTCGGACGATAAATTCCTAAATTATCTAAGCCTCCGGAGTTTAATTACGAACTAGTTGTCTGGTGTCAGGAATTTTTTTTTTTCTCACCCTTAGGAGGAAGAACCACCGTAGAAGAAAGAAGTATTGCCATAGGAATTTTTTTTTTTTTCACTCGCAGAAGAACCCACAGGAAGAGTCGCCCACAAGAAGAGCCATCGCAGAAGAACTCACCCGTAGGAGAACCACCCAATCGAAGAACCATACGTAGGTTGGCATAAGAATTTTTTTTTCCAACCCACAGAAGAACCCACAAAAAGGAACACCCGCCCAGAGGAAGAACCACCCGTAGGAAAAAGAAATTTTGTCGTGGGAATTTTTTTTCCGCCCGCAGGAGAACCCACAGGAGTCGCCCACGAGAAGAGCCACATGTAGGAAAAGTTTCGCCATAAGAATTTTTTTTTCCACCCGCACGAAAATCCACAGGAAGAGTCGCCCATAGGAAGAGCTAACGTAGGAAGAAGAACCACCATAGGAGAAAGTTTTGGCATAGGAGTTTTTTTTTTTCAAACTGCAAGAGAACCCACAGGAAGGAACACCCGCCCAAAGGAAGAACCACCCGTAAGAGAAAGAAGTATTACCATAGGAATTTTTTTTTCCACCCGCAGAACCCACAGGAAGAGTCGCCCACAAGAAGAGCCATCATAGAAGAATCCACAGGGAGAGTCGTCCACAGGAAGAGCCACCGTAGAAGAACCACCCAAAGGAAGAACCACCGAAGAAAGTTTTGACATGGGAATTTTTTTTCCAACCCGCAGTAGATCCCGCAGGAAGGAACACCCGCCCAAAGGAAGAACCACCGAAGTCTTACCATAGAAAATTTTTTTTCCACCCGCAGGAGTTCCCACAGGAAGAGTCGCCCACAAGAAGAGTTACCCGTAGGAGAAGAACCCACGAGAAGAGCCACACGTAGGAGAACCACACGTAAGAGAAAGTCTGCCATAGGAATTTTTTTTTTCCAACCCGCATGAGAACCCACACCCGCCCAAGTGAAGAACCACCTGTAGGAGAAAGAAGTTTTGGCATGTAATTTTTTTTTCCACCCGCAGAAGAACCTCGCCCACAGAAGAACCTCGCCCACAGAAGAGCTACCCGTAGGAGAAAGTTTTGCCATAGGAATTTTTTTTTAGGAAAATCCACGCCCACGAGAATTTGCCGTAGGAATTTTTTTTTTAGGAAAATCCACGCCCACGAGAATTTGCCGTAGGAATTTTTTTTTAGGAAAATCCATAGAAAGAGTCGCCCACGAGAATTTGCCGTAGGAATTTTTTTTTTAGGAAAATCCACAGAAAGAGTCGCCCACGAGAATTTGCCGTAGGAATTTTTTTTTTAGGAGAAAGAGTTGCCCACGAGAATTTGCCGTAGGAATTTTTTTTTTTAGGAGAAAGAGTCGCCCACGAGAATTTGCCGTAGGAATTTTTTTTTAGGAAAATCCACAGAAAGAGTCGCCCATGAGAATTTGCCATAGGAATTTTATTTTAGGAAAATCCACAGAGAGTCGCCCACAAGAAGAGCCACCCGTAGAAGAACCCACAGGAAAGCCGCCCGTAGAAGAACCCACAGGAAGAATCGCCCACAGGAAGAACCACCCATAGGAGAAAGTTTTTGGCATAGGAATTTTTTTTTTTCAACCCGTAGGAGAAAGAAATTTTGCCATAGGAATTTTTTTCCACCCACAGTAAGAGCCACCCGTAGGAGAAAGTTTTGCCATTTTTCTACCCGCACAGGAAGAGTCGCCTATAAGAAGAGCCACCCGTAGAAGAAGAAAGAGTCTCCCACAAGAAAAAGCCACCTGTAGGAGAAGAGTCGTCCACAGGAAGAGCCACCCAAAGGAAGAACCACCTGTAGAAGAAAATTTTTGGCATAGGGAATTTTTTTTTTCAATCCGTAGGAGAAAGAAGTTTGCCATAGGAACTTTTTACACCCGCAGGAGAACCCACAGGAAGAGCCACCCGTAGGAGAAAGTTTTGCCACAGAAATTTTTTTCCCACCCGCACAGGAAGAGTCGCCCACAAGAAGTTTTTTTCCCACCTGCACAGGAAGAGTCGCCCACAAGAAGTTTTTTTCCCACCCGCACAGGAAGAGTCGCCCACAAGAAGAGCCACTCGTAGAAGAAAAAAGAGTTGCCCACAGAAAGAGCCACCTGTAGGAGGAAGAACCGTTCAAAGGAAGAACCATCCGTAGAAGAAAGTTTTGCCATAGAAAATTTTTTTTCCACCCGCACAGGAAAAGTCGCCACAAGAAGAGCCACCCGTAGGAGAAGAAAGGGTCGCCCACATGAAGATCCACCCATAGGAAGTTTTGCCATAGGAATTTTTTTTTTTCAACCCACAGGAGAAGAAAACCCGTCCAAAAGAAGAACCACCCGTAGAAGAAAGAAGGTTTACGATAGGAATTTTTTTTCCACCCACAGGAAGAGTCGCCTACAAGAACCATCGTTAAAGAGCCCACAGGAAGAGCCACCGTAGAACCACCCAAAGGAAGAACCACACGTAGAAAAAAGGTTTGGCATAAAAAATTTTTTTCCCGCAGGAGAACCCGAAGAACCACCGTAGGAGAAAGTTTTGCCATAGGAATTTTTTTTCTCACCCAGGAAGAGCCAACGTAGGACCTAAAGGAAGAATCACCGTAGGAGAAAGTTTTGCCATAGGAAATTTTTTTTTTCAACCTGCAGGAGAACCCACAGGAAGGAACACTCGCCAAAAAGAACTACCCGTAGAAGAAATAAGTTTTGCCGTAGGAATTTTTTTTTATCCACCGCAGGAGAGCCCACAGGAAGAACCACCGTAGGAAAAAGTTTTGCCATAGGAATTTTTTTTTCTCGCCCGCAGGAGAACCCACAGTCGCCACCAAAGGAAGAACCAGCCGAAGAGAAAGAAGGTTTTCCATAGGATTTTTTTTTTTCCATCCGCAGGAGAACCTACAGCCCACAAGAGGAAGAACCGCCCGTAGAAGAAAGGAAGTTTTGCCATAATATTTTTCTCACCTGCAGGTGGAAGAACCGCCACAGGAAGTGCTACTCAGGAAAACCACTCATGAAAAGGAAGCCACCAGGAACACTTGAACAGGACACCACACGCTCGGATCGCTTATTTGAATTCGAAGTTTTAACGCAGGACGAAGGAGTACCCACTTTATACCGGAAACACGACTCGTTCAGACTGTCTATACTGTAAGCCCGGGACACCTTGGAAGGTCATCACTCCCTCGAATTGTCTACATCAATGGTATTTTTTTTACACCATACCCTGGTAAGTTCACGTTTTATCACGTTCAGAAATTAATGATGATTTACCTTATAATGGGCTTCCCACAGGTTTCGTTTCGTATTTTTTCGTGGACTTCATTCTTCACCTAATTTTTTGGATCTAGTATAGTAAGTTATTACAGACTCCTTAGTTGCTTATATTTGCTACTATCAAAACAAATTATAATTAAATTTTCATCGTTGTCATTACCTTCACCCTCTTCTTTATTTCCTTATCTTTTCATTTTCATCTTGTTCATCATTCTCATTTAAATTCATTATTTCAATGAATTTGTTTTCATCTAAGCTTTATGATTTTTGATGGTTTACTCCTTTGTTAGTTCATTTTTAAGCTGTGATAAAAAATATGTATAACGATTAGTTATGAAGAACGGGAGATAGAAACAACATATAACATCTATACTCACAAGACACCAAAGTTGCACTATATACTATAGTTAGGTGACGTTTTATACCCTAATCAGTGTTAGAGATTTAAAATTTTTTTTGTTCTTTGAGAACATAAATTTATAATTTTATGTTCTCATAAATTTTTTAGTGTTCTTAATAGTAAAACTATATAATATTTTTACTGTACAAATATCAAACTATATATTTATTTATATAAATAAAAAATAAAATAAAATAAATTTTATTTAAAGGATATTTATAACTATAACCGGTGGTGACTATAAATTGCAATTAAAAGGGATTGCTCGGAAAATCTATAGACAGTTCTTAGGGACAGTGTAAAGTCGCGTGATTGTTAGTTAAGGACAGTTAGGCAAAAGTTAATTTTTCAATGAATATATTTTTTTTATTTTGATTTTATAAGCTTGCGGATCAAAATAAAAAAAAATTATCATATTTAGTTAGGTGGTTGTCGAGATATCATCGCTCAAAGTTTATAAAAATTTTCCCGCGGCTGCTATTTTGATTGATGCTTTATATGTTTTCAAACTTTGCGCGAAGATATCTCGGAACTAACTAAATCCTGCAAAATTTTATATTTTTATTCTACATATATCTATAGAATCAAAAATATATATATATATATTTATTGAATTTAATTTGGTGGTTACTGAGATATCTTAACTCAAAATTTAATATAATTGTTATTTTGAAGGTGTTTTAAATGGTTCAAAACTTTGTGTGAAGATATCCTAGCAACTAACAACTAAATTTGATGAATTTTTTTTATCTTTATTCCACAGATTTGTAGAATCAAAATAAAAAAAATTTTATCCTCACTCACTTCGCCGCGGTTGTTATTTTGATAAAGTGTTTTGATATCTTAGTAGCTACCCAACTAAATTTGCCAAATTTTTATTTTTTTTACTTTGATTCAACAAATATGTAGAATCAAAATAAAAAAAATTTATTGAATTTAATTAGGTAGTTGCCAAGATATCTTCAAAGTTTACAAAAATTTTGCCGCAGCCATTATTTTGATAGGCGTTTTAAATTTTTTCAAAATTTTGAGCAAAGATATCTCAGCAACTTTCTTACCAAATTGTTTTATGCAGTTTTAAAGAAAATAGCTATAGCATAAATTTTCCAAACTTTGAAGAAAATTTCTCAACAACTATCAGATAGAATTTAATAAAATTTTTTCTAAATGAATTTTATTAAATATTAGAATTTATTTAAAAAAGTTTTTATCAAATTTTGACAAAAAATTTTCAATTAAAGTTTGGGGAAATTCTGCCGCATTTTAACAACTATAGAAATATTTTTCTAAACTTTGAACAAAGGTTTCTCTACAGCTATCTGATAGAATTCAATAAAAATTTTTTTAAATAAATTCTAATATTTTATAAAATTCATTTAAAAAAATTTTTATTGAATTCTATCAGATAATTGTTGAGAAATTTTCATTCAAAGTTTAGAAAATTTATACCGCAGCTATTTTCTTTGAAGACCGCAGAAATTTCCCCTAACTTTAATGAAAATTCTCTACAACAACTTAATGGAATTTGATTATAATTTTTTTAAATGAATTTTGCCAATTTGTATAATTTATTTAAAAAAATTTTCATCAAATTCTATCTGACAGTTGTTGAGAAAATTTGAGAAAAATTTGAGATATTCAGTCACGTGAATTGGTACATGTCTATAGATCGTTAGCGTCCATTGGGCAGACAGTTTACAGGCATTAGGGTGTCCACGATTATGATCCGGCATAATATGCGCATAATTTGCGATTTTACCAGTACGATCACATGTAATGTGGAGGGATGGTTGCGTTCAACTTTTTGGTGCGCTATATTTTTCTTATTTTAGAAGGCATTATGGTTATCGCTTTTTTCCTATTTTAGTAGGTATTAAAGAAATACGTATCATATGTTATAATTACTTCATAATGTGGTATGAATAATCGTGAGAAAATTACATTCAGTGTTTACCCGTTTATGATTGGCGATACCCAAAAACCGTGATCTGAGTGTGGGAAATTTTTGAAATGAGGTATTCATTTATGACGATTAATTTTTGCGACATTTTGATCATTTGTTATAATTGTAATTAGTAGTTCGGTTTCCCTATGTGAGCTTGTTATATATAAATTTTCATTTCACGATTAATTTGTAATATGATCATCACCATAAAAAATTTTATGTAACATATAATCGTTCAATAAATCCTCAAGGTGAGTATTCTGTTCGCTTTAATGATTGTTTTCAAGAGAATGTATTATAATTAATCGTAATCATTTAATCGTTCAAATAAATTACTAAAGTGTATACGAAGTTTAATTCTGTAAGAGCGTGAGTATTAAGTTTAATTCTGTTCACTTAAATGGTTGTGTTTCGAGAAAATGTATATGTGATTAATGTAACCATTTAATTGTTTAATAAATTACCAGTGTGAGTATGAAATTTAATTCTGTTCACTTAACTGATTGTTTTTCAAGAGA